ATATTAAGGAGATAATAAAAGTCAAATTTGAAAAAACAAAAGTAATTAGAGGTATTGTTGTAGGAGGTGTGGTGTTTAAAAATGAAATTGTTAAATTTGAGAGTTCAAGGTGGAAGAAATGAGAAGAGAGAAAGGGAAGCCATTAATGGAGCTTAAACAATGGAAGAGAAGAAGAGAGGAAGAGAGAGAAAGTCAGTATATTATTTTGGTAGAATGAAAAGTTGCATACAAAAATATTACGGTATTACATTATTTATATTCTACTAAACCTATACTAGTATACTACTATACTTATGCTACTAAAACTATACAAGTATACAAAACTAATTATACAAGTATTTCGTATATTTCAACAGAAATATGGTAGTTGTTCCATGAGGAAAAGAAAGAGATGGAGGAATTATTACCCTCATAATGAGAGGGTAATAATTACACACCCTCCCCCTAGTGTAACTATTACCCTCAAAATGAACCTCTTTCTTCACCTCATATCTCATCATCACCACATAATTTGTCTTACAATCACACCATCACAATCTCCTCCTTCCCTATTCACTTTCATTTTGCTTAGTTTGACTTTATTACCCTAGTAATACATTTCCCTCAATCCAAGCATGCCCTTAGAGGCGGATTTAAGGGATACATTTACAAAGGATTTTGTTGGAGATTCAAGATAGATATGTTAATAATACTTAATTTATTTTCAAGAATATGTAAAGCTTCTAATTTTGATTTTAAAAAACTTACAGCGAAATGAACCAAAAAATTTGAACAAGAGTACACGACTATACCTTCTCTTGTAGATTAATGAATATTCATAGTCACAAATCCTCACAATATAAATCTTTAACCAAAAAATGCAAGTATGCAATCTTCAGAGAACAAAGGGAAGTGCAAAATATCTAAATTATTTCCTCCGCCAACAATTATGTACAACAAAGGAATATTTTATATCTCACAAGTAATACCCCTTTGTTGCACATAAGTGTAAGCTGAAGAAGTACTAAATTTAAAATACACGAATACATATTGTTGTCCTGATACGCATTTTGGCCCACATGAGATAGTCTCAATCTTGATTGGGCTAATCTAATCCTGGACTAGGCTAAAATCATCTAACACATATTTGATGGCTACAATGGGTTGATGTACAATTTCTCGTTACTCTTATTATGAGTATTGAGTTTTATGCCATTACTGCTTTTTAAGCTGATCCCGGTTATCATCATCATGTTGAGCATTCCGTCTGAGTTTAATTTTATTTATTTTTCCTTCTTCTTAGTGCATTATACTGTACATTGAACTTTTTACTAATACACATTCCGTATCAAGTAAATAATAAATATAACTTCGTAATGTATATATATAAATATATAGTTGGATTAGTGATCCAGTAAATTTTCATAATATCATTATTTTGTAATTATTCTGATGAAAGATTATGGATATTTATAGTGAAAGTTGTGTATAGCCAAACGTGCCGCTCAATTTGTTGCACTTAAAACTGAGGGGATCATCAACCAATCCTATACACCCAAAATTTCAAACAAATTAGGCTATTATTCGGCCAGGCTAACCTAAAATTAAAGCCCACTCTAGAGAGAGCAAAAAGGGAGAGAGCTATTATCGCTTCTCCCTTGATTAAAAAGCTTAATTAAGCCATTTTTAAACTACCATGCATTTGTTTTTAGGAAGGTATGCAATATTGGTGGTATAATCCGCACTATCTATATTGCCTCATTGTAAAGCATAGTATTGTTTACAAAAAACATAGTACTTGGTATTATAGTGAACGATAATCAGGGTAATCATAATCCCAATAATTGATACGCCTTGTGCTAACTTAACCAAATTCAAATGCATATATGATGACTACCTTTAGGAATTATTTTAGGGTTGATTATTACATTGTGTTTCCAAAAAGCTTTGTTTTAGTGCTTAATTGACCCAACAACAGATAAAGATAAAGTTTTTTGATCTAAATTACATTACACTTTTGGTAAAGTGCTCTCTCCTAGTTTTAATTTTTGATGTTACTTTATTTGTGAAGACATTATTATGTTTGTCTGCTCATAAACTAATTACCGATAGTACCGAAACTATAATTGGTTAATAAATAAATTTGCTTAAATTATATGGCTTCATTGGACCGTTTTCATATAAAAGTATATGACTTGTCCATTATGATCTCTAGTGGTACGGCCCATATTCGGCAACTCTCTCGCTCTCTTTCTTTTGCTTCTTTTTTCCTCTATTAAATATTTAAATTGATCAACTTTTTATTAATCTCTAATGCATCTCATAACTCATATCAGTACTTTGTTAATATTTTGTTTTTTTTTTTTTTTGGTTAGTAAGGAGAAGGGTCCTACCTCTCACAGGTCCTCCCGGCCCTGGTTAATGGGTTAGGCACCTTGGAAGCGGGGGGAAGGGTAAGGGAATTTCCACCCCAAAATGCCTCTAGTGGGGTTTAATCCCCAACCTCTTGGTTGTGATATGCAAACTTTCTCACTACGCCAAGCTTTGCTTGGTAGTACTTTGTTAATACTATCTCTGTTTCATATTATTTGCAACGATTAGACATTTTCCTCTCTACTTTATGTCAAATCGTTGCAAATAATATGAAACGAAGATAGTATAATTAGATAAAATTTAATCTTAGTTAATGAGTACATACTAGTATACTACATACCACCCATGGGCAGACCTATAAATCCCGCATAGGAAGCATCTGCATCCCCATTTTGAAAAAAGTAAATCAAGTTTATACACACATGTAAGCTAAAAAAATAAAAAGCCCATAAATTTGCACTCCCATTATTATATGATATTATAAGATAAAAGCCCAAATATTTCCATAAACCCATAGCACCTAGCTTCTTCGGTTCACATGAAGACGATTAGTTATTTTTTTTATTTTTTTTTTGGATTAAAATTCTTGGTTATCACGTGAGGTGGGGGAACAATTAAGTAGTCAGTGAAAAAAATAATTCTTCCATTTTCACAAAACTCCTTATTCTAATTTTCTCTCTTAAACTCAAGAAATAAAACTGGCCTATTGTGATTTAGGATTCTGTCCGCTGATTTTGCTGCCGCCGGCCGGTGCCTCTTTGCCACCGATAAAGGTGTTCGGAATACTCCGGTGAAACAATTGTAATTTTTTTTATTTTAGTTTGTTTTCCCTAATTATTATATGTGGTTTTTATTTATGAAAACGATTAGTAATTTTCGACGACGTATTTTTTGACATTTATTGTTTTGTACGGTGGTATGATCGTTGGAAGTTTATTTTGGACCCCTCATTTATAAATTTCTGGATCCGCCACTGATATCGCCTTTCAATATCTTTGTCAATTAGGCTAGTCGCCATAGGGAGTATATATATAGCATCATATTAAATTTATTACCATATTCTAAATCGTAATCATAGAGTCTATAGTATGTTAATGTATACACCAACCAACCTAGTGATGAGGAGTAACTCTTCTATCAATGAAGTTCATACTTTTTAGTTTTCAGTTTTTCACATTATGTGCATGATTTTTAAAACATTTTTCTCTTCACTTCAAAGTTTTAATTCAATAGAAAAAAGTGTAAATTTAAAGATTAATTAAATGTATTGATGAGAAGAGAATGAAGGGAAAATATTTTGTATTGAATTAATTACAAGGAGTACACAAAAGTACTGTATTTACATACAAGAGTATCATATCCTTGATATGATTTTATCTAATAAAAGTAACAAAGTATTGCCTAAGAGTATTAACTGTTGGAAGTTCTTGATATAAAAACAAAGAGTGTTGAGTGAAAGAAAGAAAAGAAGAAAGAGTAAGAGTCACAATTTAAAGGGAAAAATCCCACATGGGTAGAAGGAAAAGTTTTCTCCTTATTTATATATAGTACTATGTTAGTACTTCTTAGTTGAGTGACTTGGAGGTGGGTGTTGTGCCACACACACGCGTGCACCGAGCCAGGTCGGCCTCGGGACTTGGGAATGCGATGCGCGGGCGTGGGTCCTTCTTAATTTTTTGGAGAAATTTTATTTAGGTTGATATTCCCATTTAATATGTCCGTTTTTTTTTTCTGTTGGGATTCTCTTGATTAACACTCTTAATTGCGAGTTAATCTAGACACTATTTTGGCTAAGTTATTTTCGAACTAATCTGGACAGTTTATGAGCCACGTTCTTCTTTGATTGCGGAATGTAACGGCCAGCCGTTACTTCCTTGATTTTGGCTGCCGTTTCTCCTTGTTTCTTGCTGGCCGTTGCTGACTACCTTCCTCCTTGCTGCCTATATAAACCCAGTCTCTCCTCAAGCAAGATACACAGGAAAAATATTTCTCCCTCTTCTCTCTTCAAACCTCTAAACACTGTTCTTTATTTTTCTGGGCAAATATTCTGAGTTCCAGTCGGGTTTGTGAGTGCACATAAACTCCGGCGTCGTGCTTATCCAGGGCGACCGCTTATTGTCTACTGCACCGGGAGGTAGCGCGGAATCGTCTTTTAGGTCAGTGGGTCACTACGACACGGCAACTGTTTGTTGGTTCACGCTTCAAGAGATAAGTTCATTGTTTTATTAACTTTAGTATCATATCAGTTTTAACATTAACGTTATCACCTAAGAATATTAACATGATAAATTAAGAAGATACAAGAGTATTTACATCGATATTACTTTTATCATGTATAACATTATGGATCAGTAAAATTAAAATGTATTAATTGAATAAAAAATTTATGTACCGGTGCTCAATTATCTTAAGGTAATACCAGACATACCAGTGCTCAATTATCGCACACAATCAGTAATCATGGATGATTAGATAAGATATTAAGATTTGATTAGAGATGCACTAATTATGTAGTGACTTTACTGAACATAAACCAGTGATTTTAGTAAGATTGAAATTTTGAAATAAGTTGATAATGAAATAACGCTCCAAACAAAACGCATGCCAACAGAAAATATAAGACTGTTGTAACTAACTTAAAATAGGAGTCATAATTACTCATAAAGTCTAATTATAATGTTACTGTTGCAAATTACAAAAAAGTATACTTTAATTTGGTAAGCACGAGATAATTTTGCAGTGATTTGAGTAGTAACAGTCCTAACAAGACTATGAAGTCATGCTAAGTGCGGCTAAATAGTGAAAATATGCAGAAGACCAAATAAATAGGGCCAACCCCAAACTAAAGGGTCCATGCCGATTATTACGGAGTAAATGCAAGCTTGTCATTCCCCTAACAGACAGTCCAAGTCAAGCGTATGTATCTTGTGCCCATTCTTTGTTTTCATGTCCTTTTCAGGCACCCATTGTTTACTCTGGTCTTCATGATCAATGCTTGGGGTTGGGGTGGTTCTAGCCATAGTTAGGCCCTGTTCTCTGCTGAGCTGAACCCTGCTCTGCGGACACATGCTTCGCTATGCTGATATCTATTCCACTATGGTGAAATCTGCTTTGCATGCCCAAAAGCTCCAAAGAACAGGGTCTTAGTCGGTTTAGCTATCAAATCGTGCTCGATTTGGTGTAATCTTGATGGTCCTTTTGATTAGTGATTATATGAGTATCACTATTCACTAGTATGGGTCAAGTACCATGTAGGATGGTGACATGGTGTACCTCGAGGCATGTTGACGGTTGAGTGTGCTATTTATCAATTAAGTGTTTTGATAGTGGGCATGATAACTATCTTGAAAATTTGGTTATTCTAAAAATACGTTATTGAGAACTCTTAGTAATGTGTATCATTGTATCTTTCTAAAACACCGGTGATTGTGGGAAAGTTGAGATGAATGTCCATAACTTTGTTGAAATATGTGTACATATGGGAACATATCTTTTCAATCTAGGAAAATGATAAATTTGCTGACATATAAAAAGTACAATACAAAAATTGGCATATATTTTTGTCATAAATTCTCTATCTTTAGTAAGGAGTGGGATATCATTTTAAAAAATGCATCTACTCTTTATATTGTTCATATGCATATAAAATCACCCTTCTATTTAAAGGAAAAATATATATTTGTCAATAATGAATACGGAGTATGTATCTAGTTATCTCGTATGATTCTCATACGAACTGTTTTCTACTCATAAATACACGAAAACAATACTAACCATAAAACCAATAAATTGGTTAGATGAAGCGATTTGACCAAAAATTTCAAACATTGCTTTAAGAAAGCACAATTCACTATTGTTACATGATTGATGCTTGTAGAGTTCTATATTACTCTATCTTTACACCAAAAACAAAAAAAAAAAAATAACACATTTCAACTATACTTTGCAATTATAAAAGCATATTCAATTTTTCAAATTCCAATTAATTTTAAAACTCCTGCTTATCATTATAAAAACCAATTTACGTAGCAATAACGACAAGGTAATCTAGAAACCCCTATATACTATGGAGTTCTCCGCATTAACCTACCGAAACACCACAGGCTTCCGCGGCCCGAACCTCATAAATCACAAACAATCCGCATTCAAGTCGGGGGATTTAAACCCACATCCCCCATTTCTCCCCCACCCTCCAACACCAAGGATTCATTCCGACCCCCCAAAATCTTCTCCGTAATTCCTCTCTTTCTCCCTCATTTCTTCAAACCCACAGTCCCAAAAAAGCAATTAATATAAACAAACCCAAGAATAATAAAAATTAAATATACCCTTCAAATTTCACCCCTTTATATACCACTCTACTAGTACAACGGATCCAAAAAATTAAAAAAATCTTCCAATTCAACTTCCCACCTTATTTTCTCTCTCCTCTTTCCATTCAATCAAAATGAAAACCACCCCTAAACTCATCGTCTTCCACCCTTCCCTCTACAAACAATCCTCCTCAACCACCTCGTCGCTATCATTATCGTCATCGTTATCACACCGTATATGGTTGCTTGTATTCTTCACTCTCTTCACCTTCACATTTCTCCTCACCGTCTTAAAAAACACGACCCCACCACCCCCTACACCACCCACAACCCCATCAACCACCGCCGACCATCACTCCGCCGCCGTCTCCGCCGCCCTCCTCCACTACGCCGCCATCTCAAACACCACCGACCGCATGACCTCCGGCGAACTCTCCGCCGTCGCAACCGCCCTCCGCCGCTGCACTCCGCCGTGCAACTTCCTCATCTTCGGCTTAACCCACGAAACCCTCCTCTGGCGTGCACTTAACTCCGCCGGTCGCACCGTCTTTCTCGACGAAAACGAGTATTTAATCTCGAAATTCGAGCAAAACTTCACCGATTTCGAAGGTTACGACGTTCAATACACCACCAAAGTCGGAAAATCAGCCGAACTCATCGAACATTCTAGAGCCCATCGCAAGGGTGAATGTAGACCAGTACAGAATCTACTCTTCTCCGAATGTAAATTAGCAATCAATGATCTTCCGAACCATTTGTACGAGATCTCGTGGGATGTAATCCTGATCGATGGTCCAAGGGGATACTCGGCGAAGATGCCGGGAAGAATGGCGGCGATATTTAGCGCCGCCGTGATGGGGCGGAGCAGGGGAGGAGAGAGAAAGTCCGGTAAAAGAAAAGGGACTGAGATTTTTGTTCATGATTATGGGAGAGAAGTTGAAAGGGTTTTTAGTGAGGAGTTTTTGTGTAAGGAGAATTTGGTGGAAGTTAGAGATTCTTTGGCTCATTTTGTGGTGAAAGAGATGAAGAAGGGTGAGAATTTTGAATTTTGTTTAGGAACATCAAGCAATTCTTCTTGATGATGATTACATAAATTATAAATATATGAATTGATTAAGAGTTATAGTGGTAATGGTAAATATGTTACAATTTCCGATATTGTTATTGTGCATACACCCGGGTGTACGGTATGTTTATATCTAAGACGTAGTTTATGTTGTTTCTTCTCGTTTTTATTTCCCAGATGAGTGATAGTATGGCTCATTTGAGGTTCATTGTATGGGGATTAGAGGTAAGTACAGTCGGGTGTATATAGTTATCGACTTGAAGAGAGGTTGATTATTAATAATGATGTAAACTGTAAAGTAATTAAAGTACGTTTTAATTTTAGTGATGAATGAAAGTTTGAAAAAATTGAAAATGGGAGGAATGTGTAATGCATGATATGAAGTGGGGTCAAAAGATGTGGACTAGCAGTATGAAAATGTACTAGTTTTTGGCATGGTGGTGACAGTAGAAAATGAGACTTTGATAATTAGAATCATGTGTGGTACTCGAACACATGGGTAAGGGATTGGAGCCGGAATAATTGGGGTTCAGGTTATTACTTCAATGAATGTGATAAGGTTGAACTTAGAAATGAAATCTTGCCTTTAAGAAGAGGGAATATATTATTTCAATTCAGAGATATTTTTCTTGTCCTGGTTATGATTATCGTTATGAACAGGTGAACAATGTAATTTGGACTTATACATACTTACAGAGTAATAGACTAAGCAGAGTACTCCGTAATTGTTTGGGTTTGTACCTCGAGATAATGGTTTAATCTATATTCGTAATAGACATATATGATGCATTACAATTTTAACAAATTTGTATTTTCTTTGTCCCACTTTGAAATTCATTTTAAAATCTATGCAGACGTTTACACTATTTTCAAGCACTTTCATATTTTTATATGCAGTCGGGATATATTATATGTTTGTGTTTAGTATACTTTTTCTTGTCTTTAAAATGTATCTTTCTTTGTTTTGGTCTAATCCCAACAGTTTTAAGTTCATACATCTCTGTCACCGAAGTGTAGTCAGTAAACCTTAACATTAATAAATTAATACTTCGTAAGTTATTAATGCATAGAATAACATATAGATTACGTAGCAGTTTGTTGTGTGGGTCTTCGATGTATAGTGTGACAAAAAGCCTCATGAAATATGTTGCTAAATTCTTCCAGATCCTTGAAGATCGTGAGCTGATAAGGTGCCTAATATAATACGGATCAAATATGTAGACAATCAAAATTAAATTAATATAAATACGTTTGTATGTAATTTTACATTATATAATTGCTCATGCTAGAATCTTGTGTGGCGCATGAAACACCCCTCGTGAAGTGGCCTGGGCTATAACTCATTTATTTCTGTATGTGCTGCGTTTGGTGGTGTGGAACACTACTTACATAGCTCAGGGATTATAAAAGGCCTACGTAACACATTTATGAAAAGCAAATTCTATTATACATCAAGGTATAATAATTGGTATTTTTGATTTTTTAGTGGTTAATTTAGAACTTCACGATACACAATACACTTCTACACGTGTCATGCTTAAAGTTATGTTAACAATATGAGTAATATGTTCTATTGAGCTGCTCTGCTTTGCTCAGAAGCTCAAAAGAATAGAGTCTAAGACTAGAGTTCCTATTATTTGTATTCTGTATGTAATTTGCATAATCAAGAAGCTAAACTAAAGCATTAAGCAATAAGCACTAATATAATGCACTAAATACACTTGCTAGCTGCTTTCTTTACGTACACTTTGATCTTGATTTCTTGAAAGTCACAACTCACAAACATGAAATAAGATAGCCCACACAGCTGGATCATGTGTGTTGAGCAGACATACCACAGCCTTATTTACCTAAAGAAGCCATTTTTTCTTTAGCTTTGTTTTTAACTTTTGAATATGAGCTTAATTAATTTGTGTTTCTGCTTAAAAAGGAAGTGATCCTGTAAAGACATGCTTGCTTCCTACATACTCCCTATAAATCAAAGCTAGTTTAGTATAGTTCCAATTTTTGAATCAAAAATTTGATTTTATTTAACTTTAATTAGTAAGATATACTTCTTAGCTATTATACAATCAATCAATCATTATCTACAATTAGTGATATGATCAAAATTATAGTCAAAACATCTATCTCTTTCGAACATTTGAGAATGTAGTCTAAAGTTTATGATGTTTATATGTTTCTATTTCTTGAATCACAATTTTTAATTATTTCAAACATTGTTACAGAAATAATCACTATCAATCAAATCATTATTAATTATTAGTAATTTCCTACCATAAGTCAAGCAATTGTTACAGTGATTTAAAAGTAAGAGGTCTAATTCACAAAATGTGGGAGACATAAATTTTAATTGGTGTTTTTTTGTTTTAGAATAATTGGTAATTAGCCGACCATTAGATGAGACTAATGTAATGGTTATATTTTAAATTATTATATACTTAAAACAGAACCAAAAAATGGATCATCAAACAACCTTAAGATGAAGCATAAATTAAAGTTCACTAGTTCCATAATAAGTTATTATAGATATTAGTCTCACATCATTTTTATAATTTACATGTCTCACGTTTTAATACTTATAGTTCAATAGGCAATATGGTAGTTAGCTTGTCTATAAAAGATTTTTTTTTTTTTTTTTTCTTATTAAGTTTTGTCTTTATATTTTAGTTTTTGCATTTGAGAGAAATCTCCTAACTAACTTAAAATGATTGTAGTAGGGTGTCGGTGAAGGATAGAAATTACAAAGTTTATTTGAAGATGTTCTACTATTATTATCATACAAATTAAAACATTTATGTTGGATGAATATAAGTAATACGCATTGTATATATAACCCATCTTTTAACTCTTTCTCTAATTAACTTATGTAATTCTTTATTAACACGTCTATTTTTATAAATGCTAAACCTACTCACATATACACGATTTTACATATATAAACATGTTGCAAATCATTAGATAATCTTAATAACAAATTTATAACCCACGTACTTATAGTCAAGCAAATTGCTTATAGTAAACTGCCTAATCAAGCAAATTCTCATATCGGATCAACTTTTACCAACTCTAAATAAATAACTACTATTGCACAAAGTGCATACATACATGTAATACATGATGGGAAAAAGGGCGCGCATAATCAGTGATGGTAAATGCAATGGTCTAAAGAAAAGTGGAAAAAATGAAGGTTCTTGGGAAGCAATGGTGGGGTTAAGGTCAGACGGATATCATGTGATCTTCGAATTCTCGCCATTTATCACAAACTCACTTACATAGTGACGATGATGTAATACTAATATAATTATTATAATACTCTTTATTTATTTTTAAATAGTAGGTGTACCTTTGTAATATCACGTGTCCCACGTGACCAAATGCCGTACATGTAGCCCAAGTGATGACCACTCGTCACAAATGGAGGGCTAAAGAAATTAAAGAAGAGTGTCGGTGAAGAAAATGGCTTAATTTGAACTCACCTAAATGTGATGTTGCTCTTAATTACTGTTGCGCATTGTACTACTCTACTGGACCATAGGTCCATGAGACCATGACCATTTATGGGTCCATTCCTAAAACATGCGTAGTTTTAGACCTTCTACAGTTGTAGTCGTTGTCTTCTAGTTCTTATGGTTGAATCGAATTAGTTTCCTAGTAAAAATGCGATTGTTGCAAACGAAACTTACTTTCTTACAAAGTTTTAAGTGATGATAATGGATTCTGATTCTACTTGCATTTCTTTTTAAATTAATTGCAATGTTTGAAATTTTAGGAAGCAAAACCTACATTGTGATTGAGCTTTATTCTCTTCATTAATTCTTTCATCAATAACTTAAACGAGCATAATTAGTACTTAGTAGCAAAATTTTAGCTGAATTACTCCTTCCGTCCCAAAATACTTGACACAGTTATCATTTTCGTCCGTCCTAAAATACTTGACACGTTATCAAATATGAAATAGGACCACTAGTAAAAAAATATTTTCTTATACTCTCTTTGGGACCACTAACCCCAAAACCCAATTAAATCCTAAAATTTCTCTCTCCTCACTACCCCACCTCTCCAACTTTTTGTTTTCTTACAGTATAAAATACGAAAGAGAATCCTTTATATTATAAACAAATATTTTAAATGGACCCATTTGTAGTTTTTTTAAACTACGTGTCCATCTCAACGTCCCAAATATTATGGGATGAAGGGAGTAATAAGAATCATTTGAAGATCGAGAAATTTCATTTGTACTAATCTATATTCAGGGTAGCTTTTACAAAATATAATACTTCTGTTGAAACCCATTATAACCCACTTGTTAGTGTCCTACATTGGAGAAAGAGGAGAGATAGTTCCACTTTATAAGGTAGAGGAGTTACTCCTACAATTGCCAATTCGTTTTAGTATGAAATCTCCTCAGCTTTGTTTGTGGACCAAACTCTCCTCCTCCAAACCGAGACCCATTTCGTATTATCTCAAAATTTAACAATTTCAGTTAGTCGTCATACACTCGTACCCATCCAAATTATTCGGGCCAATTACAAATTACAATGTCGGCCCAATTCAGTTAATTTCAAGTCAAGTCCAACTACTTTATCCAAACTCAGTCCATCTAGTCCTTTAAGAACAACCCTTCCAAAAGTAATCGATAATTATTTTTATTATTACATTGGATATGTTTCGATAACATTCAGAAAAATTAGTTCAAAATCATACAACAATTAAGACTACTACTGCAGTATATATTTTTTAATTGCAATATTATATGTTCAAATAGATAGAAACAAAAATGTCGTAGTTACAACTTACAAGAAAACAATTACACCCAATACATCAAACTCAAACTCTACTACAATAGCTAATCAACTAATTAATCAAAATCAAGGACTAAGAGCTGCATAAGTTACTGATGGCTGAGGTTGTGGGACTCCCTCTATTAACATTTCAGCATTCAAATATGGAGCAGTTTTCTTGCAAGGCAAATATTTGTGCATTTTATTTTCAAAGTCACCACAAGTTTTGGGCCTTTTGAAAAAGAATGCGCAATTATCTGGGCTTCTTTGATCCGGAAGGCCCAATATACAATTGTGCCTCACATCCAACACCCCTTTTTGGATCAGCTTCATACATTCCGGCCCAACTTGGGTGAAATAGTTATCACACAAGCTCAATTTCCTTAAGTGAGGCAACATACACACTTCCTCAGGCACAGGACCATAGAACTCATTCTTTTCCAAGACTAGATACTCCATTTTACCTAAACAAGCGAACGATCGCGGTATTGGGCCGGTTAGGACATTCTTTGAGACGTCGAAAACACGGGCCTTTTTTAGAAGCCCAATCTCATAAGGAAGGCAGCCCGAGAAACTGTTATCTAAGAAGAGGACCTCGAGGAGGGTATTCGAGGCCTGCCCAATGGATCTTGGTATTGGGCCTGTGAATCTGTTGTGGGCAAAGGTTAGGAAAGCGGCCGGGGTTGAGCCCAAATTAAGTGGAAGGTCCTGCTCAAAATAATTATTGTTAATAAAAAGGGCCAACACTTGCAAATTAAATAGTTCGGGCGGAACCGGGCCCACAAATTGGTTAAATCTAAGGTCCAAGAAGGTTAATTTAGTAGCACTAAGTACATTAATAGGAAACTTCCCTGTGTACTTGTTGTTACTAAGATCTAACTCAAATAGGTAAGGAAGACCGCTTAACACCGGGATTTTTCCTCCGAAATAATTGGAATTAGCATGGAAAATCGACACGTCGGGAACATTGTTGATGAAGTTATCTAGGGTAATATTTTTGCCCTTGATGTAACACCCGTTAAATTGAATCGAGTAGAGGCCATTTTCCTTTTTGTTGGGAAGAGGTGCACACCCAAACTTGGGGTTGGCACATAAGTTAGGATTCTTCATGTATTTAACCTTGGTGGATAAGCTACAATTGTCAGTATCAATCCCTTTAATGAATTGTTGTATGACATTTGTGGCTATTTGGACACGAGATTCTCCTAGGGATGGTGGTGGTGACGATGGAGGAGGGGGGCATGGTGTTGGTGGTGGTTGTGGTGGAGGACAATTCTTAGGCATTTCAGGGGCAGGCGAGCCACCAATGGAAATAGGCTCGCCGCCTATGACAATGCCTAAGGCTTCTCTATTTGGTCTAAGAGTGGCTTGAATGTTATGGGTGGCTACTACAATTACAACATGATACGTAGAACATAGTGACACAAATATTAAGATAATTTGTATGAAATGGGTAGTAGGAATGGCAAGAATAGAGGATTTGGTGCTCATAATTCTGCAACTAAGGTTTTCACTCTTTCTTAGTTTAGTGGTGATTATGAGTGTACCTAGTTTAGAATTTCTTATCCCCTTATAAAGATGAAAAATAATTGATAAAGAGACATCAGTACAGCTGCCATAGTACTATAGACAAAAGTTGACTAATAAGTCTTCTTATGTAGAGGCTTTGTACAATTGTACTCGTGTATGGGTGGGAGTTGAACAATCAGTGGTTCATGGAGGCGGATGTACCATGCGCATGGTACATCCGTTCAAAAGAAGAAGAAAAAGCGGAAAGAACATGTATAGAAATGTAAAGAACATTTAGTTAAAGTGAAAAAAACATGGTATACAACTGTAAAGAACATATATCCAAAGTGAAAAGAACATATTGTTAAAATGTAATGAACGTGATAAAAGAACATAAGAGATAAAAAAAAAAAGAACATAAAGCTTTTAATAACAATGAACATGACACTATTTTATAAAGAACACACTGTTAAATAATATTCTTTATCTCCGTGTTATTTGATTGTCAGTGTAATGTATTTTTATTCGTGACATAATATTCATTGTTTACTGTGAAATGCTCTTTAAATTTTGTCTTTAGATTATGGTGGGTGAATATAAATAATGTTCATTACATAATATTATCACGTTCTTTATTAATATTATGGTTGTTCTTTAGATATACAAAAGAACATAAAGCTGGATGTTCTTAGTAAAATAGCTATATGTTCTTTACAAAACAGGTATATGTTCTTTACAAAGCAACTATATGTTCATTTCGCCTTTTATCAAAAATCCGGATGTACCATGCTTGGTACATCCGGCTCCACAAAGAAAATTTCAGGAGTTGAGTGAACTTTTGTTCTTAAAATAGCTACCAAATTTAATTTAAGGTTATGCACATACATTAAATTCCACATTAATTATTTGATGATTGCAACGAACATTTAATCTATTATGTCAAGTTATCTTATAAAGACATACATAGTACCTAATGTATACTTTGTAATAATTTAGGTTAAATGAGATAAAGAACGCTACATTATTTAATTGCAATTATGGGTATAGGAAATAAATTTTCTCATACAATGGTTGTGTCACTATAGGCAATACAGTGTATTATAGAAATTTATTAAAGTTGTAATTTGTTTTAATTTAATGCTCCGTATGATCAGTTATCAACCCTTGTATTGTATCATTTGGCTTTACAATGACTAGCGGAATTTTTCTTGCCGTATGATGCATAGAAAGAAAATGAAAAAAAAAAAAAAAAAAACGGAGATAGTAATCGGAGAAGAATGAAATGAATTGAAGGCATTTATAAGTAATTATCATTGCCATAGATGGGATATTAAAATGTCATTAATTTTGTCTTTGTAACTAGTTTTCTTGATGCAGACATTAAACATTCACACGTGGTATGTTTAAACCATTATAATGCTATTTGATGGAAAGCCACCTACTAATCTACTACATGAGACTATTTACTACAGTGTTTCTCATTTCAGGAAAATAGAATAAATAATGAGAGCAAAACCTATTGCATACTTGCGTAAAGGGGTGGTACAATTAACAACATGCATGCTACTGAATTCATGAAATTACAATTTATTATAGTTTGCATGCTATAATCAGTAAAATTATTAATTTTGTTTATGATCATGTGAAGGTGATAACACTAAGTGAATATAGGATACATGATCAAACATTTTAGAAGTACTAGTAAGTATAAGACTTGTTTTACAAATAAAAATTTTAATTTGAGTCCGGCCGAGACATGTTGTAAAATCCAAACATTAGTCATTAATGTGTTGATAAAGGTGACATTTTTTCCCAATTGTCTTAAACTACAATTCGTATTTCTTCTTTCTCCGCTTGAAAAGTTGGGTATTTGACTATTACTGTCAATTTGTGCTCCGCTTAAATCTATGAATCTATCATGTAATTCTTAAAGGTAGAAGAGGCAAATATGAGTATAAGTGGATGTGAAACTATACATGTAATCTGAAAAATAGAAGAGGCAAAAGTGATTATAAGTGAATATGAAAAATTACACATGCAAATTGGAAGAAGAAATTAAATTTCTAATCTAATACAGATTGACATATATTTATGCTCATTTTTGGTCTATGATATGTAAACTTGCATTAATATTAATTTCCATCATAAAAAATACTCTCATGATGAACGATCGTAAAGCTCCAAGAGTTTTTGAATCATGGATTTTTATAGCTGAAAAATACAAATCAAGTTGTCAACCTTTTTTTGTTTTAGTTTGAAAAGTCAAGAATCACAGGCAAATAGGCTTGGATATTTTTTGAGAGTAGGGCAACATTAAGTTTCATGTGTTTTGTTTTCATGCATTTTTATTATCTATAGCATATGGTTCATATTACTTTGTTGAGTTTTTTTATTTTTTATTTTTTATTTGTAAGTTGACCATACTTTTTAAAGTCTTTATTGCTGCCTAACTGCCTTTCAATTCGGTTGTACGTAGTCTATTAAGTTCCTCCTTAATAATATGACATTGAGATTCTTTTTATCCATCATATATTATGGTAACATAATGTACGAACAAAAAATTTATTAGTACAGAGTATTGTTACTATATAATTGTATAGTGTATATATACTATGAATTTGCTTAAGAATAAGGATAAGAAAAGGAAAGAATGGAAGTTGATTGTAGTTAAAAAATGGGATGTGCTTAGACGAAATATTTTGCATGCATGGGTTTAGCAGGATTATGGTGTAAAATTTTTTGTTAATGATGGATTAATAACCATATACGAAGTATTATGCATTTATGCATAATGAAGCGAAGCTCTAGTCAATTAAGAAGCTCCGACACTCATATATAAGTAAAACAGTTCTGTTAGTTTCACAATTACTGCAGTTATAATCTAAGGATTACGCTATTAACTATCCATTGATTTGTCCAAACACTGTTTTTAAACAGCTTTGGAATTAATTTCATACTAGTATGTGACAAGAAAAGGGTACATCAACATCAATCTTCCAAAAAACAACATTTATAATTATTATTGAAGAAAAGTAAAAAAGCTCCCGAGTTGAATTTTTCTTTTTCCCCACCTTGATGTGCCTTATACAAACAAGAAAATTTACATCATCTACATACAATAACAATAATTATTCATTGTAAATATCGGGTTTTGTACATCAATTTTGATAAACGGGTCTAGGCCGCACCCGTCACAAGTGTCCACTATACAAGTTTAAGGAGATTACACCTCAAAACCATATGGCAATAAGGGGAGTAGCCCCTTAGCCTTATAAAAGAACTTCCTCTTTTCTTCAATGTGGGATACACATCCCAATATTCCTCTTCACTTTTATACTCTTTCAATGTGGGACAACATTTTCACTCACATGTGGGTTTTCTTATGGGCTCAACAATATGTTAAGATAATAATTAGAGAATATTTAGAGAATATTGTTAATATCTTTAGATATCTTATATATGTTAATATTTATCCTTCCTAGTGTATTTAGGTTAAGGAATCTTATGTAAACTATATATATTGTTTTAAGATGAAATGAGAAGGTTGAGAAGTTCACATTAATTTGACATGGTATCAAGAGCCTAGGTTTAGAGTTCAAAAAAAAAAAAAAAAAAAAAAAAAAATCAAATCAAATCAAATCAAATCACAAATTTTTTTACACGCTTGAAATTATCGGGGTGAGATTTGTGTGTCAATAATGACAAAAGACAATGATGATTTAATTCCACCACAAATTGACCTTGAGTATCACCTTGTATCAAGTGATCACCCTGGGATCGTGATAACTCTGATCAAACTAAAGGGGGTCGTGAACTATGACGAATGGGCAAAAGCTGTTCGTAGGTCTTTAATTGCAAGGGTTTATTGATGGTTCGATTGAGGAACCTTTGACAGATCCTAAGAAGAAGAAATATTGGGTTGCGGTGCATTCGATGTTGGTTTCTTGGATCACCAATACTCTTGTAGACAGTCTGCGTTCAACCATAGAGGACTTCGATATTGCAAGTGAACTATGGACACACCTGAAGCAGAGATATTGTGTTGTGAGTGGCACAGGAATTTGCCAGCTTAAGCATTCGCAGGGCATGTAAACAAGAGGCACAAGAATCGCTGACAGATTATTTTTGTTGATTGTCCAAAATTTGGTAGGAGTTGGTGCAATATTGTAGGGTGCCGAAGTGTTCTTGCGGGAAATGTACGTGTCACATTGCACAACAAGGAGAAATTCGTGAGGAAGATTACCTTCACTATTTCTTGATTGGCCTTGATGATCCTTATGAAGCAATTAGAGCACAACTCTTCGCACAAACACCTTTGCCAATGGTGGATAGTGCGTATCAAACGGTTATTAATACCGAGAGGTTGCGTATGAAAGATGGAAAGAAGGATTATGTTGTGGCCTTTAAGGTTGATTCGAGGTCGACACAATCTTATGGAGAGAGTGAGAATTTGATTTATGACCATTGCGGTAAGGACGGTCATGTGAAAAAAAAATGTTACGAATTGATTGGTTATCCTGATTGGTGGGATGATAAGAGAAGAGGAGGAAGAGGACAAGGAAAAAGTGGTCGTGGAGGTCGAGGAGGCCGAGGTGGACGTGGAGGTAGCACAGGCAACAACAATACTGTGCGTGCCAATGCTGTGCAAGGAGGGGTGATAGTGCAAGTAACTCCCATTCAAACAACAATCAGCAGTCTACACAAGGTCTTGCAGGGGTCTCTCCCGATCAAGCTCAACAAATCCTTGATTTTTTAAAGTCAAAATCAAAACTTGAAGGTAAAACTTGTATGCCGTGGATTGTAGACATGGGAGCTTCAAATCATAATACGAATGATTTGTCAATCATGGAAAATATCAAGACAATTCAAAATTGTCCGATTGGGTTACCGGATGGTCAGACTGTAAATGCGAATCAACTTGGTTCAGTCACATTGGAGGGTGGTTTGAAAATTGATAATGTGTTATTTGTTCCCCAATTGAATTGTAATTTAATTTCCGTAACAAAGTATAGTAATGAACTGAGTTGTTTGATTCAATTTACTAACAAAATTTGTGTTATTCAAGACGAGTTAAAGAGGACAGTGATTGGTATGGGTGAACGTCGAGATGGAATTTATTTTTCCATGGTGTTTCGCAAATAAGAGTGCTAGCAATAGATTGTGTGGTCGACTTGTGGCATCAACGTATGGGGCATCCGTCGGAGAAGATATTAAAGTTGCTCCCTCATGTGAGTAACTCTAGTAGAGAAAATAATAATGTTTGTGATGTATGTTCTCGTGCAAAGCAAACAAGAGATAGTTTTCCCATTAGCGATAGCAAAGCAAGTAGTACGTTTGAGTTAGTTCATATTGATCTCTGGGGACCGTATAAGACGGCCTCGTCTTGTGGATCAAAGATGTTTTTGACAATTGTGGATGATTATTCTCGTGGTGTTTGGATTTATTTTCTTAGCAATAAAACATAAGTTGAATTGATGTTTCTTAATTCTATTGCTTTGATTAAACGACAATTTGATAGAGTTATTAAAGTTGTTCGTAGTGATAATGGAACCGAGTTTAATCATTTACAAGATTATTTTGTGAAGAATGACATAATTTTTTAGTCTTCGTGTGTTGGTACTCCTCAACAAAATGGGAGAGTGGAAAGGAAACATCAACATATTTCGAATGTGGCTCGAGCTTTGCAATTTCAAGGAAAATTACCTATAAAATTTTGGGGGGAGTGTGTTTGGACTGCTTGTTATTTAATTAATCGCTCTCCGAGTCCGATTCTTCAAAAACCCCAAATGAGATGTTGTTCGATAAAGTGCCGGTGTATGAGTGTATTCGAGTGTTTGGATGTTTGGCATATGCTCATAATCAACGAAGTAAGAGAGATAAATTTGAATCCCAAAGCCGAAAATGTGTATTTCTTGGTTATCCTTTCGGAAATAAAGGTTGGCAATTATTTGACTTGGAGACTCGGGAAATTTTCGTATCTCGTGATGTGAGATTTCATGAGCATGTATTTCCGTTTGATGGTTTATTGGGTGATGATTTAGAAAAGTCCGAATCAAGTATGGATAGGATTTTTGATGAAGGTAGTGTTGAATTTGGAGTGTGGCAGCAGGGTGGCTTTGATGACGATGCTAGAGGTGCAGCACAAGGCACAACCAACAGATTCAGCGAGAAATCAGCGTCCGCTGATCGGCAGCAGCCTCGCCACACCGAGCAATTTGCTCTGGCCGCTGGAAATACATCGACGGTTGGTCAGCCCACATCACCCAACGACCAGCCAGCGCCTGCTGACCGAGGAGAAGCAGATACAACAGCAGCTTCTAGTTTAGGCGCTGGATTTCCAGCGGCAGATGGACGGACGACCCTCCAGCCTGCATCGCCTAGCAAATATGCAGCACCTGCTGGGCGAAAAAGGCAGCGACAGCAGCTTAGTCTCATCACCACAGCCCACAACACTCACCTCTCCTCCAGCTGGCAGGTGGTGATTGAGCAGGAATTAGGCTCTAAATAGGCCAGCACACAAACATTTGAGGAAGGGTCGGAGCTAGGTAATGCAGAAGATCAAGGTGCTGATTATGAGGAAGAATTAGGAAGGGGTAAACGACAAAAATTTCCTTCATTCGACAAAGTTGCGGGATTGCGTGACTCCCACAATACGGAAAAATAAAGATCCATGTTCACCGCCAACATCATCATTCTCTTTAAATACAGGTCTGGGCCGCACCCGCAAACCAAGAGAGATAGTCCACTTTACAAGACCAAAGGAGGTTCCATCCCAAAACCATATGACAATAAGAGAAGTAGCCCCTTAACCTTATAAAGTGATTAACTCTCTCTTCTTCAACCAATGTGGAACACTTACATGTGGTGATACTTGGGAGGTCTATTCTTCAACACTCCCCCTCACATGTAAGGTCCCTCTTTAACTTTATCTCATGTGATTTGTCGAGCTAGAGTGCTTCTTCACTCCCCCTTACATGGACCTACTCTTGGCCCAGTGAACTTTAGCCATTTGAGGTCCCATATTGTGAACCTGGCTCTGATACCATGTTAAATACGGGTCTAGGCTGAATTTATTTTAGTTCTTCATTTGTTCATTTAGGAGAGTTTTGACTGAGCAAAATGACTATGGTAATCTTGTAGATAGCACACTTCACTAGTAGAAATAGATAAATGTGCACCGATTATTGAAAACCGGTGCGAAAAATGCAAGCCTAAACCACAAAAATAAAACAGGCTTAATAGGGCACTAGTTAACCGATGCCCTTTTCCCAAATATTCCCTAAAATTAGAATTCTCTCTCTCTCTCTCTCTCTCTCTCTCTCTCTCTCTCTCTCTCTCTCTCTCTCTCTCTCTCTCTCTCTCTCCTCTCTCCTCTATTTCCTCTCTCTTCTCGAACTCTCTCGCTCTCTCTCCTCTCGAACTCTCTGCCTGTCTTTTCTCTCTTCTCGCTGTCTCTCCCACCACCAACCACCACCACCGCAGTCACTAATGGAGATGTTAAAGCAAGCCCTTAAAAAACTAGGAGAACGATGCCAAGATCTCTAATGGCGACGTTGCTCCTCACAAGGTTTATCCCTCCTTTATTTTTGTTAATTTTGTATAATTTGGGTTAGGGTTTCGATTTCGTTGAGCTTTTGGGTTTTGATTTTGGATTTTGTGATTTGGTTGTTGTGTTTGAGTTTGAATTTGTATGTGATGTTTGATTTTGAGTTTGATTTTGTCCCTCTTATTCGATGATTATTGTAATTTTTTTATTCCCAGAAATCCCTTTTTTTATTTTTCTTGTAATTTTGATATCTAGGTGTTTTCACTTAGTTTAGATTATGGGTTTAATTGGGTTTTAGTAGCCTTAGCAGACTTGATAGTAAGTTTTGGGGTTTGAAATCAGATTCTACAACTCAGTTTTATTGCGATTGATCTAGGGTTTTGTTAATTTGTTTCAATAATTGCGATTGATCTAGGATTTTGTGAATTTGAGCTTTTGGAATTGTGAATATACGGAAAACGGAATTAATTATGAGTATACGGAGTATTTGAATTGTGAGTATTTTTGAGTATTTGATACTTGAATTTTGAAATTTCAGTAGTTTGATTTGTGGATGTATTGTGAATATTGTATGGGTTGTCATTTAATTTGATTTTGTGGGTATATATTTGTTTGTGTATATTTTGACTGATTTATTGATTATGGACTTTATGGTATGGGTATATTTTGATCCTATTGAACTTACAATTTTAACTAAGATTGTGGTTTGATAAATCTGTTAAGTCAGTCTAAGTTGTAAATTTGACATATATAATGGTTCATGGAGATAGGTCAAATGTTCGTGTTGCATGTGTGTACATTGGTCACCTGCTAATTGCATTGTTTTCCTTGTGTGTGTGTGTGATGATTAGGAGCTGATTTCTGCAATCTGGTTGGGCTTGTTGCTTTACAGAGGATAGAATTTTGACACAACAATTTGCAATTCCTTTGGTATACGAGGTAATCTATGTGTTTATTGTAGTGGTTTTTTGTGAACTTGTATTGAGAAACTCAGTGTGAGCAAGTGAATTAGTGTGGGTTTTTTTTTTCTACTTAGGTTAGGGTACATCAGGGACAAGAGCCAATTGATGGGGTAGGCGTTTGCTTGATACAAATAGGCAGGATTATGGATATGGAAGATGGGATTTTGAAGCAAAGAATTCATAGTTTGGCTAGACAGAGAGAAGAGATGCAGCAAATCTCCTTGTTATTGTCGTCATAAATTCAAGGTTAATGACTCACTTACTTCTACTTTATTTTGGGTTCAAATTGTAGTGTTGCTTTATTATTTATAGATGTATGCTCAATATATTAACACACTAAAGTAATGACTCAATGCTTGATAATGTGATTAATCGCTTGATTTTGGTTCTAGAGTGTTTAAAATGACGCATCTGCTATCTTTTTTCTTTTTCTGCTTTCGCTTTGTTGCTCATAATATTGATGTTGGACTTGTTTGTTTGGGCTGAGAAATGTGACTTATGTGAGTCTTTTTTCTTTTTTTTTTTTTACCAGCTCTTACCTTGTTCATTGGTAGTTATTAGTCCTGTAAGTTGTGGACTATCTTATGGGTTATTGAGCTTTATTGTAGCCGTTCAGTTCCAAACCATGTCCGTATCATGTACTTTTGTCAAAATTATTAACGCTCAACACACTTCACATGATAGAATGTGTTGGATGCATTGTCTTCTGAAGAATATGGGCAGAAAGAATTGTCAAATGATGCTGCAATTCAGTTTGGATTTGATTTTCTGAGTTGTGTTTTGGCATCCTCGAATGACTTGAATATGCTGCCATGTTGCTTCCCCTCTGCTGCCTTTTTCAAATCTTAATTTAAGTTAACTTTGGTGTTCAATAAACATTTAATTTATCATTTCATAATATTTTATTTGGGGTTTTAATTGTTTACTTGTTTCTTAGTATTAGTTTATTTAATAGTTTTTGTCCCATCCATTAGCTTAATTTAGATTGCTTGATTCATCATTGTGTTTCTACTACTTATCCAAGTGTTATGTTTCAGCTCTCCACGCTGTTGACTTTTCACAAGAGAGTGGATCAACTCTCCACGTTGCTGCCTCTACTGCTCCCTGTACTGTTACTCCCTCTACTGTTGTTGCCTTATCTTTGATGCTACTGCCTCCTACATTTGATGTTGTTGCTGCTACTGCCTCCTTCTATTATGATAATAGAGAATATATTGATTCTGTAGTTTTTTTTTTCAGTTTTTTAAAGTGTAATATTACAAGTTATTGAAGAAAATATATGTGTTTTATGTATATTATGATTATATATAAGTATTTGGTACAATTTAAGTGAAAAAATGCAAAACCATTAAGGGCACCGGTTAACCGGTGCCAATAACCTTGTATTCGCACCGGTAAACCGGTGCTAATGTTAATTACTCCCACCGGTTTTGAACCGATACGAATAAACTTAGCTTTCTGCATCCCTCAAATAACCAACGGTTTAAAACCAGTGCGCAAAGCCAGTTTTGAACCGGTGCGCATTCATCTTTTTCTACTAGTGCTTGTGTGTCTAGTGGACAGTACATTATAATCATCTTTTGCAAGATATTTGCATTTGTAGTTTGCTTGCTACCCTATTACATCAAAAATATACTTGGAAAAAAAAGAAAAAAAAAAGACTAAATTGATCGATATGAAAGAGGAACAACTTTTTAGGTGAACTGATAAACATCGCCAGCAAATCTCTACATAAAGCCCACAAATTTGAAGTGAATCAACACTTTTGCCCACAAATTAAAAAACATACTCTCTTCTGCTCTCTACTCTCATTTTCTCTCTCTAAATTTTTTTTTTTTAAAATGTCGAGGCGGCAAGGCAAGGAAGTGGCGGCACCGGTGGCGGAGGGAAGGCGGTCACGCGGTGGAAAGGTATTTTTAATTTTTTTTTTTTAAAAAAACCTTGATTTGGCGGCGCCTTGGCAGGACGCCTAGGCCACGGCAGTGGTGTCTTACGTGGACGCCGCCACCGTGGCCCTGGCGTCAGGGTAAGGCACCGCCACTTTTTTTTTTTCCGGGTTTTTTTTTCCAGTTTTTTATATTTTAGGTTATTATTTTTTTGTTTTCTTTTCTTTTTTTTATTTTTTTTTTGTTATTATTTTTTTGTTTCCTTTCCTTTTTTTTTATTTTTTTGTTTTTTGTTTGTATTTTTGATTTTTTTTTGTTGTTTATATTTTTTTTGTTTTTTTGTTTTTGTTTATATTTTTTTTTTGTTTTTGATTTATGTTTATATTGTTTTTTCAATTTTTTTTTTATTTTTTTTATGTTTATATTTATTTTTCAATTATTTGTATATTGTTTTATTTATTTTTATTTACTTGTTTAATGTTCATATTGTATGTTTTGGTATTTCTTTTTTTTTGTGTATATTTTCTAATTTGTTTAAATTTTTTTTTTTGATGTTGTGTACTTTTCTTTTTAATGTCAATTTATTAGTATTTTTTTGTTTATTTGATATTTTTCTTGGTTAGGTATTTCTATTTTTTGTTGTTGATACTTTTAAAAATAGATTATTAATATAAATAATAATAATAAAAATTGCTATTATTTTCCGTTATTTAAATGGAGTTAGGCATCGCATTTTCGACCTGGTGCGGGAAGAGTATGGACGTTATTAGAAGTACAATCTACTCAATGGAGAGCTCGGGGCCCAAACACGTTAGATCCCATGGTATTTCGGCCCGGCTCGCAAAGAACGGGTGCACTATTCTGAGGATGATGAAGATGATGATGGTGATGATGATGAGGAGGAGGAGGAGGATGCAGATGAGGATGTGGACCATCAGAGTGGACCATATGATGATTACTGTCCATTCAGTCAGAGGCTTGATGATATGTATGAGACGCATAGGGTAGATGTGCGTAAGGGTAGATACGGTAGATTTGTTAGTAGATCTGGCACATCATCTGCGTTCATTGTATCTGCGGCTAGCAGAAAACGGTCGAGGGTCGTTAATGATTCTTGGGTGGTGAGGGGTAAGGTGGTTAGGGGACCTGTAGACGGGAGTGTGATTCCTAGATTTCTAGGACACATCGCTACCCGTATCTTGGAGGACCAGGAGAGGGCTTTGGATACGGGCATTTTGAAATGCCAAACCCGGAAAAACACTTGTAACTTTTTGCGTAGTTGGGCTGATGCTTGGCCTGAGGAGAGCCAGATGCTCGGCCGATTGAGGGGCACTAGAGTGAGTCACCTTCCTGCCACCATGCACGAAAGGAATGACTCAATGTTTATCACGGCTTTCGTTGAGCGATGGCAGTCGGATACGAACTCTTTCCACCTTCCGTTCAGTGAGATGACAATCATGTTGTATGACGTCGAGGCCATCCTTGGGATTCCCGTAGAGGGAAACCGAACAGGTTCCTTCCTGTACTTGTTTGTCTTGTATGTTGAATCGATCAAAATCAAAGATGGCCAAGACGTGATCATACCAGCACAATCAGGATGCACAAGGAATAAATGAGTCACCTCCGATGTGTCTTCATCAGATTTAAACCAGAACAGGTTCCACGTGCTTGTGCCTGGTGTAGAAGCTGCTGTATAGGGTTCCCTCCCTCTGACCATTCAAACCTCAATTTCTGTCTGACGTTGTAGATGTGTCTTCGGTTTGACTGGTCTTTAGGAAATTTCTCTAACACAGATGCTAATATTTTAGCAGGCTTCACTTGAGCATCACTCATTTCTTTTACAACTAGTTTCGCAGCAGGACTTAGGCCGCTTAACTGTCGATGACACACTTCATATACTATCATCTCATGGTTGTGATACCCCCATTTACCGTAACCCTTCACTTCCCAACCGTCACGACTTTGCTGTTGTCGAACCTTTACTCTGAATTGACACCCACAACCTTTCCGCTTTGTATCAAACCGAATCGCTTGACTGAAATCTCGTTCCTCAGCTCCCTTTTGCAATAACGGTTGCAAGACTCGCAACTCAAAATGCGATCCATTCTACCATCCCGTTGGAATTTATGACTTGCTACTACTAAACAAAAATCTAATCTAATTGCAACCTGTTTTGCCTAATCAATCGCTTGTTGAGCATCTTCGAACGGACCATCATGTACAAAAATCCCACTATAATCATTTCCGTCTCCACCATAATCCTGCAACAATGACATATAAATATAATTACATAAGGATTAAATTAATACATTTGACACAAAATTAACACAGAAATAATTTCTAAATTTTAAATTTCTAAATTTACACGTAATTAACACAAAATTAACACGTAATTATATATAAAAGTATTCACACACATACAAAATTAAAACATAAATTTGTTTATTTTTTGAAATTATTAACACATATTAAAACATAATTTCAAATTAAACCATAATTTTGTTTTTTTATTTTATAAATTATTAACACATATTTAAAACATAATTTCAAATGAAATCTTGTTTTTTTAAAAAAAATTATTAACACATATTTAATTTCAAATTTATCAAAGTTAAAAAACAAAAAAAATAAAAAAATAAATTAACACATAAGTAATTTCTAAATTTTAAATTTCTAAATTTCATTTGTATATTTAACGCATAATACATTTAATTTCTAAATTTACACATAATTAACACGTAATTATATACAAAAGTATTCATACACATACAAAATTATAAATTTGTTTATTTTTTGAATTTATTAACACATAATTTCAAATTAAACTATAATTTTGTTTTTTTATAAATTATTCACACATATTTAAAACATAATTTCAAATTAATTTTTTTTTAAAAAAAATTATTAATACATATTTAATTTCAAATTTATCAAAGTTAAAAAACAAAAACTAAAACAAAAAAAAAAAAACAAAAACAAAAACAAAACTTTAAATAAAATTAAAAAAAAAATGTGGCTGGGGCGCCTGGCCGGGACGCCGCCACCATGGTTAGGGCGATCCAGCCAAATGCCACTACCATGGTGGCGGCGTCCTGCCAGGCGCCCCAGCCACGGTGGCGGCGTCTCGGCTAGGCGCCACACCCACGGCGGCGGCATCCCGGCCAGACATCCGCCACCAATTCGTAATTTTTAAACGCCAAGTACCTCGTTTTTCGGCGACGATGACGGCTCTCCGGTGTATCTCGCCGACGATGACGGCTCTTCGGTGTCCCTCGGCGATCAAGTGCTGCTCCACATTTTTGGTGAGAGAAAATTTCGTTTTGGGTAAAAATTAAAAAAAGGGCAAAAGTTTCAAAGTTTAAAAAATTTTGGGCTTGAAGTAGAGAATTGTGGGCGATTTTTAACAACTCCCCTTTTTAAACTATTATTTAATTAATCACGGTTGCAGATAGATCACCAACTTTGTATGTAGGATGTATAAGTCAATCCCGTTATTATTTGAAGTGATAAGAATCCACACACAAGACACAACAACATGTCTTTCAATCTGGGAAATATTGAATTATCATTGTGTTCTTGTGTGAGTTTTAAGTTTAACAACCGTTACACAAGTAGGTGCAATGTGCACATGTATCACATCCCTCCCAAAATATATGAATTTGAGCTAGTTGATCACTTGAGTATTATGGACAAATTTAAAGGGTATTGGACGAAAGCGTTTGTTATGCACTAAATTCCACCAATAATACTAAAACGTTATTAACTTGTCTCCATGTTATAATATCTTTTTCTTTTAGCTTAATCCTTTACAACCTTAATTTCCCTCTGTTTCTGCACTCAAGTATACGATGCACAACTTAAACTTTAAATATTTTTTATTAACTTAATTTTTTGATATATACATAATACAAGTATGTGTCAAATGTATGCAAGAAATTCAATAAACATGATAACAAATTAAACCCACATCGACATCAAAAACATTGATATCTTATAAGAGAGTAAAAGAAGTTTTAATTAGTTGTTCAAAAAAATTAGGTCACTAGACCTTGGGAATTAACCTATATAGCTTAAAATTATAAAGGGTACGGTATTCTATTACTGAACATAAATATACATTGAGATCAACTAAACAAAAATTTGAACAATATCGTAAAAGTATATCATCACATATTAGTGATAAAATTATGGTAGAATCTAGTGTATAAAGAGATTTTAAGTCAAAATATTAATGCTTGCAAATATTAAGACACAAATACGAGTAGGCAATGGCATGCATGTATGGGTTACAATGGGCTTTGGATTGAGGATTTCATTCCCTCACAGTCTTTACAGATCCTTATAATCTTGTTACCCTTCTTCAGGGGATGGTCAAGGTATATAACATCGATTACCTTTGGCTCATCCG